AAACGTTCCAGACGTCCTCTTGAGTCTCCCTGCCCCTGCGCAGCCCCTGCCCGTGCCGGCACAGTGGCTGTTGACTGTTGGCTTGAAAACCTCTCACAGATCCAGAGCCACCAGTCAAGAAGGTGAACCAATTACGACTTGGCAGGACGTCGGATATACATTTCTACCCTTCTATCTACAGGGAGCTAACGAGCTACTTGAGTTCTGTGTAGTGTGGAACTAGTTTACACAGCGCCTGTAGTATTTCCAAGGGAGTTGGTTATTTGCAGTTGTTCCCTTGGGGCATGGCTTGGTGCATTGTTGCAACATGCTACAAGTGCACCCGAGTGCGAGCGCGCGTTTGTAGTATTGCTGTAAAGTTGTTTTCGCTGAGGCGACCTTTTGCCCAATAGAGTCTGCAAAAATCGCAAACACACACAGACACACACACGCGCACGCACACACACACACATAAACGCGGAGCTTACAACCACGGCTTTTGTCTAGAACTCTTTCCGAGAGAAGAACGGGCAAGAAGTCTGATCAAAACCAAGAGCATCCCATGGAGCCAAAGACAGAATGAAAAGGAATTGGGTCCTTCCAAGGGGGGCTTAGTATTGGCCTGCGCTTGGTTTTGACAACCACGCGTCTCCCAAATGCAAGGCTCCGACAGGGGGCTGCGGGGGCGATGAAAAAAAACAACAGGAATTGCTGAGCGACCCCTTGTTAGGACGCAGGGCTCCTAAACGTCTTCCCCCAGCGCAATGGCAGGCCCTCTATAGCAAGGAGTCGGTCGCGAAACTGCACCCAATAGCGTCTGTGAAAAAACGCAAACACACACAAATTGGAGCTAAAACCACGGCTTTTGTCCAGAATAATATCCGAGAAACTAAAGCCGGAAAAAAAACTCGTCAGGGCATAGCAGGCCGCCGCCTGTGAGGCTAGTGACCTCTAATATTTGTAGGGGCCATGTACGCCGCCAAGGTGCTGTTCTTTTTGTTTGGGGGAGCACGGGGATCTTGTGTTTCGCGGCGGCTTTGTGCTAGCCGCAAAAGCCTTGACCCTGAGGGTTTGACTTTATTCGGCCCTATGGCAGTTTGCGGCGCTTGGGTGTCCTAATCCCACCTTTCCGGCCACTTCTCCCCGTGGCACGCTAGTGGCTAGCAGGGCTCTTGCTACAGCGTGCCCAAAAGAGCGAAAATCAATACTCAAAAGGCCTTCTGAGAGGATTCCCTCATTGACGCTGGGGTTCAGAACCTGGAAGCATTCTACGGGGAAATGTAGCCGGAAAGGTGCGTGTGCAGATTAGGACGAAGGGCTCCTAAAACAACCCCCCTCCCCTGAGAAAGAAGCGCGCCCAAGTGTCGCAAGATTACCTGAGAGCAAAGCGGGCTGACCTTTGTTTTTTGTTTCCCAGGTGCCTATCTTGAAACAGGTGTGACGCCGAAGCAGGGTTTGCTTTATGATGATGAATCTCTTTGGCCCTGGCGGCTTCCAGCAACAACTTCTTATGGCCTACAATGCCCAGAAACCAAAAAGCACATAGCGAATTGTGCCCTCAAGCCGCGGCCGAAGGAAAGGATAGGGCGTAGCAAATAATCAGAGAGCTTGTGTAGACACGCCTGCTTAAAGGCGCGCCATATATCGCAGGTAAGGTTTAGGAGCTCTGCGTCCTAACTTTTCGTAATCGCACCTTTCCGGCCACATCTCCCCGTAGCATGGCTAGTAGGGCTCTTGCTACAGCGTGCCCAAAGAGCGAAAGTCAAAAATCAAAAGGGTCGGGGCCTTTCGAGAGGATTCTCTCGCTGACGCTGGGGTTCAGAACCCGGGGAAATGTAGCCGGAAAGGTGCGAAGGAAGGCCTTTTGTGACAACCTCCTGCCAGTGCAGGTTAGGATGAAGGGCTCCTAAAACAACCCCCCTCCCCTGAGAAAGAAGTTCTGGTCGCGCCCAACTGTCGCAAGATTTCCTGAGAGCAAAGCGGGCTGACCTTTGTTTTTTGTTTCGCAGGTGCCTATCTTGAAACAGGTGTGACGCCGAAGCAGGGTTTGCTTTATGATGATGAATCTCTTCGGCCCTGGCGGCTTCCAGCAACAAATTCTTATGGCCTACAATGCCCAGAGCCAAAAAGCACATAGCGAATTAGGCGTGTGCTCTCAAGCCGCGGCCGAAGGAAAGGATAGGGCGTAACAAATAATCAGAGAGCTTGTGTAGACAGGCCTGCTTAAAGGCGCGCCATATATATTGCAGTAAAAGTTGACCAAGAGGGCGCTGCGCGGTTAGGATTCCAAACGCGGGCGCTTGCACCAAGGACCAGCGCTTTCTGTTTCCACGTCATTTGTCTTTCCTGTGCCGCTCTCGGAGCCGAGGGTCCTGTTGGGAGGGCGCTTTGCGAATTCAAAATCAATTTTGAATCCGGAAGGCAGGGGTCCTAGCTCGAAAGCCAACTGCATGTGTGCACACACAACCCTCTTACGAGTCAAAAGCCCTACCTTCCGAATTCAAAATCGATTTTGAATTCGTAAGGCGCCCTCCCAACAGGACCCTAGGCTTGGAAACCTAAACCAAAAGGATTAGGAGGTGTTGCTTGCATTTTTAGACTTGTTAGGTTGAGGGCGTGTGCTAGCTGTTGTTTGGCAAGCTTTAGCTTCGAAGTCCTGCGTAGCTTTAGTTGTTGTGTTGCAATGATTCATGTCTTGGTTTGCGGGGGAACTGTTTTTGGGTTTCTGATTTTTGCCGTTCGCTTCCCTAATAACCAGGGTAGCTGATTAGGGGCCAAAACTCTTCTATCCCCTTTTCTGACTAATTTCTCGAACCAAAATATCCTAAACAGCTCGGCTCTATTACCCAACCCTGACCTACTAGTAACCTAACCTTATTAAGACAAGACATAGCCTTTTTGAGGGCGTTTTCAAAAACTGATATAACATTTGGATGTTGCTTTAAATTTAGGAGATAACTTTTGGAAATGACATTTTTGGGGTGTGTGATCGAACATTGTTAAGCTGGTCATGGCAGTCAATTTAAGCCTCAGAAGAACCTGCTTTGAAGAAATAACTCCAAGCACATACCAGCGCATTATTTAAACTAAGAAAGCCACTTTAATGTCTCACCAAAACATGGTTCAGAAATAACACGCAAACACCGCTCAGTTGTTTTGGGATGCACAAACATGTGCCGGGAAAGCTTGAGACATGAGGCCTTGCATTTTTTTGGGGGGGGGGGCAAATGTTTTGCAACACCTGTCAACTGGCAATTTCGCAACAAGAGATTTTTCAAAGACATGTTTTGGGTGGAGGCTTGAGGCTGTAATAGTTTGTACTGGAGACTTGAGGCCTGGCAAATTAGGGGCCTGAGTTTTGAAGAGCGCATATTGCGCTGGACTCGTCCTGCTTGGTATTTTTTAGCAGGAATTTTGGAAACCAAACATTTTTGCTGGATACTTCAGGCCTCGCAATTTTTTGAGCGAGAGTTTTGGAGAGCAAAGATTTGTGCTGGACACTTGGGGCCTGCCAATTTTGAAGCAGGAGCTTCGGAAAATATTTTGGGCTCAAACTTGAAACTTGCCAATTTGAGAGCATCAGATTCGGACAGCGGAGATTTGTGCTGGACCCTTGGGGCCTGCCAATCGGGGTGCACGAGTTTATGAAAGCAAAGAGTTTGGGGTCTAACTTGATGCCTGCCAAATTTGGGAGCAGGGGTTTTGGAAGGCAGTTTTTGTGGGATTCGGAGGCAGTGCTGTTGGAAGGCAATCATTTGTGCTGGAGACTTGAGGCCCGGCAGTTTTTGGAGCATCAGTTTTGGAAGGCAAGCGCTTGTGTTGGAGACTTGAGGCCTCGCAAATTCAGCGCATGCGCTTTGGGCAGCGAATGTGTGTGTGTGTGTGTTGGAATCGCGGGGCTTGGCAATTTTGGGAGCAGGAGTTATGGAAGGCAACCATGTTTTGGTGGCGGCAAGAGACCTTTGGAAGGCAAATCATTTTGGTGGACATTTGGGGCCTGGCAGTTGGAGGCAGAGGTTATGGATTTGTGCCGGAGGCTTGAGGCCTAGCATTTTGGGGCAGGATTTTTGGAAACCAAAGTCTTTGTGCTGGAGATTTGGGGCTAGGTAATTTGCAGGCAGGGGTTTTTGGAAAGTAAGGACACTATAGGAGTTGTTCACAGCACTTACTTTACGTAGAGACTTGGGGCCTGCCAATTTGGAAGCAGAGGCTTTCCAGCTAGACTTTGAACTGGAGACTTTGAGCTTTTTCATTATGGGGACAGGAGGTTTGGAAAGCAAAGATGCGCGCTAGAGACTTGGGGCTTAGCAACTTTTTTGAGCGGGAGTCTTTCAACACACTTTTTTTGGGCAGAGGCTTGGGGCCTGCCAATTTCGGAACAGAGGGTGTGAAAATTGGAGACTCGGGGCTTGGCAATTTGGGAGCATGAGTTTGGACAACAAAGATTTGCGCTGGATACTTGGGGCCTACCGAACACGTGGCGCTTTTTTTCAAGCACAGATTTTGGGTGGAGACTTGAGGCTTGCCAATTTGGGACCAGAGGTTTTTGAAAGCAGCTGTTTGTGCTGGAGACTTGGGGCCTTGCAATTTCGGGCGCAGGAGTTTTGGGAAATTTGAGGCCTGGCAATTTTTGGGGAGTGAGTTTTTGGCTGCGAAGATTTATGTTGGGCAATTTGGGGCCTGCCAATTTTGGCGCAATAGCTTTTGAAAGCGGGCTGCGCTGGTAGCGCTTGAGGGCTGCGAGCTAAAGAGCACTGGTCACCTCTTAGATCAAAGGGTAGATTTGATTGCAGAAAGGGACGGCCGTACTGGAAAACCTCAAGTGATGACTTCGACTGGTGACGTCGGCGCCTAGTTTTTGTCGACTTGGACGAGCTTGGGTCCACCACAGAGACCAGATAACTAATATGTACAAATGGAGTTTGCTGGCAGTGTCAGGCTCTAGAGCATTTCAGGCCATAAAAGGTTGAGGTGTCCTCAAAACGACACCTCCATGCCCAGGCAAACTGCACGCGTTGCAGGTGAAGAAGTCCTTGGGCGTCGACGTGACAAAGACCACACGCCACAGGATGAGGAGCCGAAATTCCAAGTCAGGTCACTTTGAATGGCTTGGTAGGTGAGACATCCCAAATGGGTTTGGTCACAATCCGGGCTGCTTTGAGGCAGGTGGTGGCAGATCCAACATGGGCTTGTGACAACTGCATCATCTATGCGCTACAGTGTTTGCATGCTGCAATTTGGACGAAAATCTGTTAGTCATACGGGAGGCGCTGCGTGTCACGGAAATTGTGCTGCTTTTCCGCCTCTGAGCAAGGCGTGGCCAGTTTTGTTGACAACGCATGACACGTTTCAGCGCCGGTTTGGGTACACCATCGTAGCCGCGCACAAGGGAATGCAAGTGTCATGTGTTGTCCCAGAGTTGGGAATCGTCATGTTGTTTTCTTTCTCCGGAATGATTCGTCCGCAAGTGTTCGGGATAGGTCCGACGCAATGCGTGGGATGTTTACCAAATGGCCGGCCGAGACCTTTTTATCACATCTCACAACATACGCGCACAACTGGTCAGCTTGTGCTGTTTGATTTCGTTTCGGCTTTGAGCGGTAAGCCGCGGAAGTTCGAACGACATGTGCCACGTGGCGCCACGCATGGGGCAGAGGCCAGCTGACGGGGGGCGCTTTGTTGTTGGCAGATTTGCCAGTAAAACTTCATGGTTCGCTGGCAATTCTCCATCCACGCAAACTACCAGTGCCACAAATAGACTATCCAAAGCGTGTCGGAGTTGACGTGTGTCAGGTTTCCATGTTTAGAATCCGCCGGCAAGCGGATCTAGGGGGTCGATCACGGTTTCTGAACCGACTTTGGGCGGTTTGGGGCGTTGGGCCTTCTATTAAAACCATGATAAAGCATGTCACAAAGTGGCAAAATGCTTCATCGTGGCGCCTTCCCATCTGACCTGCCGCACCAAGACACTTGGCTACGAATGCTCTAGCAGGGTGGCTGAGCGTTGCCTGGGCTGTATGGGTCTGATTTTGACATTTGAGGGCAGTTCTGTATTGTTGACACGCTCGTCATATAGCAGAACATATGTCGCGGGATCCAACCACAGGTACGCTGCTTAAGATCTGTGTTGATTCAGTGTTAATTTGCATCACCGGCTATTGAATGTTGCATTGACAGAATATTGCCAGCGTTGGACGGCGTCCAGCAAACACAACTTGTGCTTCAACAGAGGCGCCATAGTGTTTTTACTACGGCCCCTTCTTTGTTTCCCAGGGAGGCTGATTGACAAGAAGCCAAACACCTGAATGACGTCCATGTCTTGAGTTTCGTGCAGTTGCCTGAAGCAACTTCTTTAGTTCAAGCACAGGGTTGCCGACTGCCCTGCGTTCTTCGCAGTTGCCCATATTCAACGTGCCGGGGAAGGCGAGTGCTAGCTTCCTTTTCCGCAGTTTTGGCTTGAGTTTGAGATGGGCCACACCGATCCCTCGTGGGAGAGGTGTGGCTGTAGTCTGTGCCGAGCAGTTCGGCGTATAGGAGACCTTGTCTTTGTTGGTCTCTTGAGTTCTGCTCGCGGGCTGCGGTGAAGCTTCAGGTGCTCCACGATAAGTTCCTTGGCCTCTGGAGGTGGCGGAGGGACTCTCGGTCTCCTGGTGAGGAGACCGGGTGGCCTTTACAGGCGGGGGCGCTCTCAGCTATTCGGAGTATCGAGGAGAAGAAGAAGAAAGAAAAGAGAAGAAAGGAGGAGACAAATGCAAGGCGCAAGAGCCACAAGAAGGTCAGGGTCGCGGAGGCGGAAGGAGAAAGCAGAGGAGGACCGTTTGAAGAGGAGGATGAGGAGGTCATTGAGGTCCGTGGTGGAGCAGGGCAAGAGTCCGGGTTCCTCTTCGGAAAGGGAGGAGGAGGCCAATCTGGCAGGGGGGACAAGTTTCAGAAGATGCGGAAAATCGCAAAGGAGATCCCGGGGGTGCTGGCGGCACGGACGGTGGCGACGATGAAGGAGACCTTGCTTACAGCCTCGGGGCAGTTGTGGGTCAGCGCGGGGGAGTTGGGGACTCTCTACTTTCGGCAGGTGCTGGCGAGCGTGTCAGGACCAATGGCTTGGGAAGAGAACCTTGCCTTCGCGGTGGATCTGTGCTTGCAAGGACGAGTGGCCGGGGCGGCGGGCAGCATGCTGCAGAGGCTCAAGTCGCTGGAGATGACCGCCAGAGGAGGAAATTGGCAGGTGCCACAGTATCGCGATTGCGGATTGGTGGCGGCCACGTGAAAGGGGGATTCCTGGCCTCGTACCTCCTGAATAAAAAGAACTAGACCACGGTTGGCCCGAAAGCAGAACATCGCAAGCGAGGTCGGCCCAACGCTGCATCCCTACACGAAGCATTTGTGAAGCAAGCGCGAGACAGCACCAGGCAAGGTGCTCTGCGCAAACTGGTCGGTGCAAGTTGGTCTGCGCAAGTTGCTCTACGCAAGTTGCGCTGTGCAAGTTGCTCTGCGCAAGTTGCTCCGCGCAAGTTGCTCCGGCAAGTTGGTCCCTGCAAGTGGCTCCCTGCAAGTTGCTCTGTGCAAATTGCGCTCTCTGCAAGTTGCTCTGTGCAAGCTGCTCTGTGCAAGTTGCTCTGCGCAAGTTGCTCTGCGTAAGTTGCTCTGCTCTGCGCAAGTTGCTCTGCGCAAGTTGCTCTGCGCAAGTTGCTTTAAAATGCAAGTTGCATCTTGCGACGCCCGCCCGCGGACCAGGGAGGAATCGAACCCGCGACCCGCCGGTTCCGGGAGCAGGCGCGCGAACCACGAGACAACTCCCGAGGACCAGTTCGAACAACAAAAGTCGCAAAAAACCTCGAGTTTTTGCACCTCGACCACGCCGATTCCCGCAGAGGGTTGCGCGAGCACCGCAGAAATCGCAAAAAACCTCGAGTTTTTGCACCTCGACCACGCCGATCCCCGCAGAGGGTTGCGCGGGCACCGCAGAAATCGCAAAAAAACATGGGTTTTTGCACCTCGACCACGCCGATCCCCGCAGAGGGTTGCGCGAGCACCGCAGAAATCGAAAAAAAAAAAACCATGGGTTTTTGCACCTCGACCACGCCGATCCCCGCAGAGGGTCGCGCGGGCATGTTGGAAATCGGAAAAACCATGGGTTTTTGCACCTCGACCACGCCGATCCCCGCAGAGGGTCGCGCGGGCATGGAGGAAATCGGAAAAAACCATGGTTTTTGCACCTCGCCACGCCGATCCCCGCAGAGGGTCGATTTTTGTGTAGTGTCGTCGGCACTTCCCCCGCCGCCCTAAGAAGAGATGTTAACTGCTCGCAAGTCAATTGCACTTGACTCCTTGCACTTGCAACTTGCGCTTGACTCCTTGCTTGTTTCAAGGAGTCATTGCAAGGAGTCATTGCAAGGAGTCATTGCAAGGAGTCATGGCAAGGAGTCGTTGCAAGGAGTGCAAGTTGCAAAGGCAAGCCAAGTGCATGGAGTCAAGTGCAAGTCGCAAGTGCACGGAGTTAAGTGCAAGTTGCAAGTGCAAGGAGCCAGGTGCATGGAGTCAAGTGCAAGTTGCAAGTGCATGGAGTCAAGCGCAAGTTGCAATTGCCATGACTCCTTGCCTTGACTCCTTGCAGTGACTCCTTGCAATGACTCCTTGCATGACTCCTTGCAATGACTCCTTGCAATGACTCCTTGCAATGACTCCTTGCCATGACTCCTTGAATGACTCCTTGCAATGACTCCTTGCAATGACTCCTTGCAATGACTCCTTGCAATGACTCCTTGCAATGACTCCTTGCAATGACTCCTTGCAATGACTCCTTGCAATGACTTTGCAATGATGATGATTCCTTGCAATGACACCTTGTAATGACTCTCATGAGAACAACTCAAGTGAACCCAGCGGAAGAACCCTTCGCCATGCTTTCGGGAAAAAGCAGAAGGAAGGGCGAAAAGGAAGTGGAAAAGGGAAGGAAGATTCCCGGTCGAAAGAACTGGATGTCAGGGAGCATTTGCTCAAATGGTCGGACCCAGCCCACGGGTGAAGGTTGCCCTTTGCCCGCAAGCAAAGGCGCTTTGGGGTCTGGGATGTGCAGCTATTTCAAGATTGGCAGCTATGTGTCTAAATTCTCACCAGAGAGGGAGGCGGCTTCATCCCAACTAAAAGTACATCCATACAGGAGCCTTGGTTGCAAGACGCATCTCCTGGGCTTTGATCCGGTCCGCCCTCCCAGCAGAAGTTGGGCCAGTTGAACTTACAAAGGTTTGTACTTCGGGGTGCCTCCGCTACGCATGTCAGGGAGTATTTGCTTCCTACACCAAGCCCCCGAAGGTGATGGTGCTGGCGCAAGGGTTGCTGGATCGCGGGGTGTGTAGCTTGATTGAGGAGTCCAAGGTTCACCACGTGAAGGGATGCCCTGTCCTCAGCGGCTTGTTTGGGGCTTCCAAGAACAAATGGGCAGATGAGGTTGAGTCGCATCGGTTGATCATGAAAGTCATCCCTATCAGCAAGTTGCGCAAGGGTAGCCTACAACCAAGCAAGATTTGTGGTGTGGGATAATGTTGAACATCTTTGGAGCGCGGGTGAGGGCCGGGCCCTAGCCTCCAACAGGGTAGCAGGGCACAGAAGGCACAGCCACAGCTAAAGGGATCTGGCAGGGTCTTGGCGTCTTTCTAAAGACATGGGCCATGAATGAAACCCCCAAATCGTTCGCCTCCGCTCCCTGAGGAAGTTGCGCGTGCGATGGTTGGTTACGCGCTGCGCTATTTGCTGGGATTTTACTGCATGCTTCGCACGGGCGAACTTTTGAAGATTGAAGCCCGGCACATCCATGCCTCCAAAGTAAGCATCCCGCTCGATATGTCACTCGGTCCCATGAAAGGAGGCACGCGACTTGGCGCCTCCGAAAGCGTCTCTGTTGGTGAGGAACTGCGTGCGAGCCCGCCGAAGTGGAGGGCGCAGTTTGCAGATACTTTGGCCAAGTTGGGCTTTCAGTGGGTCGCTAGACCGACTCCTGATCCAAGGGCGATGGCAAGCGGCCAAAACCGCTAGGATCTACATAAATAACGGACTGGCCATACTGGCAGAGATGAAGATGCCTTAGACACATGGCAACCTCACTTTCAAGAGATTCTATCAAGTTCAGGCCTCAGGGCCTTTGCCTAAACTTGAGCTTGCTAAACACAGGTCTGGGGGACGTGGAAGGCGGCCACAAGTGCCGAAGAAGAAGTCATTGAAGGTGAAAAAGGGGCGCTTTAAATCTAGGGCGAGCTACCTGCAAAAAAAAGTGGCAGGGGGTCTGGATCCGTCCTTTCTCGAGTACTAAGGCTCAGGCTTACCCTGGCGCAGGGAAGTCCCGTGAGGGCACTCAAGACATGTGGTATGTCCTTTCATTTGGATGGCGTGGTGTGGGTTCATGCGAAGTTTGATTGCTTCAATTTTGACAAAATTGGTCTTGCGGCGCACCAAAAGAAGCGGAGCATGCGCCTTTATTTATTGCATTCAGTGATGCATCTGGCTGCCCGTAGGAACATGCACAGGGCTTTGCGAAGCGATTTGCTTCGGGCCCCTGACATTTGCGGTTGGCCATGCGCGCGCGATCCTTGTCTGTGCCCGCGTGCCAGGCGGAGCTTTGACAGCTGAAGGCCCCCCAACGCTTGGTGCGCGGCATGACGAGGCCGCGAAGAGCGCGAAGAGTCGGTAGGCAACGGCCGGGCTCTGACAGGTTCCTTTTCCAAGGTGCAAAGAAGTGTTTCCAAGCACCAGTTCTAGAATGCCGTGTGTGGTTGTGCGTGTGTGCGCGTGTGTGGTGTGTGTTGTGTGCGTGTGACTCTGTGTCTGTGTTTTTGTGCGATAAACTTCCTATGAGCGCACTGGCGCAGGAGAAACAGTCAATGGAAGCCTCGATCGAGCAAGGCCTGGCCACTGAATGTTCATTGAAGTAGTTGGCCTTTGTACCATGCCCCCCTGGTGGGCAGAAATTACGGATTTTTGAAAATGCTTGGCTGCTTATAGAACTTCCCAGCCTGGCAGCTTTGTGACGGTGGAATGCTCAGCCAGCCACACACTGGACAAACAAAAACTTCACTTCTTGAAGTGCCGAATGATTACAGCCCTTTCCCCTAGAATCCTACAGGATGGGACCTATGCATTTGCCTGCTTGAAGTAGTCGCACACAGTCGGCCCCCATTGCCGTTGCTGACGTGGATGCCTGGAGAATCGCTGACACTTGCGTGTTGCGCAGTTGCACTGGGCGGCGGGTGGATCACCCTGAAGTGACTTAAGTGGAATCCCAACTTCAGCACTCTGAGCGCTTCTTTGGCCACTCGAGAATGTGGAGATATCATGTGAATTATGATGGAATTGTTTGGTGGCGCTTCATTGTGGTCGGCAAGCATGTCCATCTCAAATAAGGAAACCATTTTGTGTGATGAGGTATCTGCAGCCTACGCTTTCGAGCATTTACGACGCAAGACCTGAGGCTGCATGGAATCCTCAGACTCCAGAAGGATACGCGCACGCCTTAGATCAACTTGTCCAGTTGCTAAGGCCCAGGGACTCGGCGGGCCTTGTCTCGTAGTCATAAGATGATTGTTCTGTTGGGCATAGTGTCATACTTCAAAGGGGTTTGGTTAGAAGAGAAGCATGGACAAAGTTGGAAGCTGCAGGTACTGTTCATGCGTTTTTGGCTCCAACACTTTGGAAGACCCGCCAGTTGAACAATTCGATTTTGGGCCACGCATGCTCCTCCTTCGCGGGCTTCGTATCAACGGACACATGCTGTTTTGTTCACTCGAAACACCAACGACCATTCAGAACCTGCTGAGACCAGTTTGTTTTGGACCATGGTTGATTCCCTGTCACACTGAGGAGACCACGGTGGTCCTCACAGGTGCCATTCCAGTTTGCAAAGATGCCAGTTTGCCCATGTTTTTTGGGGCTGAGGGAGTCTCAACCCTTCAATTGATTCAATGAAGAATGTGCGAAAACCACTGTAAGATTGTAAGAATCCAGGTGAAACCCTGGGTTGGCCCATGACTTAAGTGATGTCAATTGGTTCACACAAAGCTTACATTCAGATTGCTGCCTTGCCGCAAGGCTTGCCGCGGACACTGAATGCAGATATTCTGCTCGGTCTACTGGATGAGAAATTCCAGTACTGCTATAATTACTTCTATTTGCCAATGGCGCCATGGCCTGCAGACGTTTTGGCGTTGCCTTCCACATCGGCTTAAGCTGGTGGGTATTGTGGACTCTCCTTGCAGAGTGAGGGAACTGTGTGATGACGTGGGCATACTGTACTTAGATGTCTATCACATTTTGTTTGTGAAGATGGTCTTACCACCCATTCGATCGTCATCCTTTTCATGACATGTCTGACCCACTGGCTTTATCAGTTGTGACCCGTTGCATCTCTGATTGGCCAGACTTGGTGGCTGCCATTGGCAGCGTTGCAATCAGAGCGGGCAAACTCGAACACGTTGGGTGCATTGATATGTTTTTAGTCCTTTCAGGCCTTGGCTTTTGGGGTCAATGTTTGGTGACCTGGGAGTGAATCTGTGTCTTGTTGACTTGGGAGACGTGCTGAGGATATGGACAAGTTTGAGAACACAGGGCTTGCCTCCCAGCTGCAAAGCGCTGTGAGACTTTGCAGCAGACTTTTGCCATGTCTAGTGGACTTTGGAGGGTCTCAACGGTGAATAACCTTTGCCTCGATTCTTGGATGTTTTATATTACCGTGCATGGTTTTATAAAACAAACTTTTCCTTTTTGCCGTATGGCTCAATTCCGACGAACTAGGCGCTACAACGACACCACAAGCTAGCAACAAAAAAATCACCCGCCCGCCATTTCGTTGTTCGGCTGTTCATGTTTTGGTTGGCCTCCCTGCTGTACGGCGACCCCGGTTCGGGACAACCTGAATCTTCTCTCCCTACAAGCAACTCCTTCAACCATCTTCGAACCCTGCTCGGCGCCAAATGAATCCAAGGCCTACATCAATTTCCGGAGTCCTGCGAATGCTGTGGAGTGTGCCGGGCTTGGTGCGGTCGTTTTGTTTGGTGCATGGGTTTCAACGCGTTTCGCGCTGCAGGATAGTCATGATCGCGAGAGGCGCCGAGTGTTGATTGCATTGAGGCCAACATTACTTTCAAGGCTTCACCAATTGGGGCGGCGGGCACAGGAGCATCTTGGACTGCGCAGCAGTCTGCTTCGTGGGTGAGTTGCGATGGGTGGGTTGCAAGATTGCTAGTTGTTCGGTATCCGTTCGCATATCGGTAAGAGAACCTGCGCGTTTCGTACCTGTTCTTTACAATTCAGTCGCCAGCGGGGCAAAGAAGCAACACGAATTACCGCCGCCAAATGACTGAAATTTGGCTAGCTCATTGTTTGGCCCAAGACAACCTCACTTCGGTTCCAGCCTGTCGGGCCCGCCTTTCACCATCATCTCGCGAACCGGGCTCTCCAAGCCATAGTTGTTGTTTAAGCATGTGGTTAGCCTTCGCGGGAGATTATGGGACGATTTTGGGTAGGCAGCGAGCATGAAAGGCGTCAAGTTCGCATGTGTCAAGTAATATCTTCCCCCTATGAATAAATACTGCCCCCCCTATTGTAAATAAATCCCCCCAAAAATATGTTTTCTGTTAATTGGGTTTTTTGGGGTTGGTGTTTTTTGCTTTTCCAACAATGTGAGGGTTCACATAGGATTTGGAGGAAATGAATTGAATTGTAAGGTCCGCGAGTACGCGGTTTAATGAGGACATTTGATGTATCAGTATATTTGTTTTTCAGTTTACTGGTTGTTTGTTTGCAGCCAGGCAGGTTAATTAGCCAGCATGTACGGGAGAGAGACAGTCGCAGCTAGACAGCTGTTGGGGAATCCAGCTTTTGGGGAAGCAACCTTTTAGAGAATTCATCTTTTGGGGAACCCACCTTTTTAAAAGTGGGGCTGGAAGCTTGTTAAAAGTGCCCCCTAATAAGGATTCCAAGACTTTAGTATTGGTTTAGTATTGGCGCAATGGAACATCAATTGTGCGGAGTGGAAATCTGGTCCCGAACCCCGGATTTCCATTTTTTATTAATTGGGGTCATTCATTAATAGGGGGAACGGATTATAGAAGCTTGCTCATCAAGCAGGTCTCAACCTCACATTTCCAGGCGCTTGAAATTGCGGTGCGCTCCTAGACTTTGGCAATGTTGTCGACCTAACCTGCGCCCCCAATTCTTTTTCAAAGCTCTGGCCAGAAGTTCGGTAGGAACAAAATAAGCTGCCAAGGTTAACCATGCGTTGCGAGAGTTTGAGGGACCTTCAGGTGGACATAAACCTCTATGCAAATGATGTTCACCAAGGGGCACGTTCCAATACACAATTCATTCCCATGTGATCAGTCCTCAGTCATCTTGCGTTGTGTGCAGGATTGCTTGCTCTAGTTTCTCATGTTTTGTTTTCACAACCAGCCCTGCACCATATTGGAAACGCACCTGTCTCCGGCAGGAGGCTTCCAAGCCAAAGCAAAGCAAGGATTTGTTGTCTAGCAATGCATTGCCAGACTTCGCTGACCTTTCTTTCCTTTGCCTTTTGAATTTTCAACAATTTCCCTTTTCACTAGCAACACGTTTGTTTTTTGCAGTCTTTTCATTTGTTTCATCGTTATCCAATGTTATATGACTCCCAGCAAAGGGAATGGGGAGGTTTGCCTTTGTGAGTCCAAGTCCAAACCCTTCGAAGTAGGAAGTTTGTATATTCGCCGTTCAGAACAGGCGCATGACGCTGGGGATGTCGGATGAGCAGCCTGACTTTGGGTCGCACTTTTGGAATTCCTTTCAGTGATCTTGTGCACATCGGTCCAAGCCGGCAAACATATAATCTCAAGCAAACACCTACTCGTCAACCATGCTTTCTGACACATGCCAGACTGCCTCGGTTTGTGTGTGTGTGTTTGCGCGTACGTGCGTGCGTGTGTGTGTGTGTTGTGTGTGTGTGTGGTGTGTGTCATGTGTGTGTGTGTGCGCGTTTGCATTGCTAACAAAAAGTTGGTTTGACTGATTCCGAGGACTACTAGTTAATCATGAGGTTGCCAGCGCAGAGATAATACACCTGTTTCAACTGTGTGAGTTTTAGCCGCCAGCTTCAGTCCCGTCGCATGAGTTGCCTCGAAATCACTGAGGTGAGCGCAGTTGCGCAGCTCAGTGGTCCACCATCCAAGGATACGATGCTCGGCAGAAAAGAAGCATGGTGCAAACATTTCATGATTAGTCTACAGCCATTGAGCCTCCATTCCGCATTTTGCATTTTGCGGCATTTTGCCCATATTTTGAAGGGTCATCCAATCCTCTTATGAGCGCCAGTTGTTGAGTGTGCAGCCGGCACTTGTTGCTCTTGTCACCAGTTGTAATCCGGCGAGTCCATACGGTTAATGGGTGCGAGGTGCTAGGGCATGTGGATGCTGCAAAAGCATTTGTTGCAAGCAACTCGATATCCGTTGCTTTTCTGTTAGTGCCATGAACTAACGAGGGCCCGATGTTTCATGTGTGGTATGCCTTTTTGGCCTCAAACTGCCATTCGTGCCGATCCACGAAAGGGTCAGTGAAGCTCAATAAATGTTTCACGCGAAGGAGCATGCTTCTTGCAGTGCCAATATGGGCTTTGGTTTTGTTTCAGAATAAGAACCTTTTTATTATCCCCTGCATCACATCCGCATATCAATATACATGGCCCGGGCGGGCTTAAGCCATCAAAACCTCTGCCATTTCGCATCTGCGGGTTGGCAGAAACGGATTTTCATCCACATCACTTTGTGTTTGCCCTGCGGCCACTTGTCTCTGAGTGGCCGTGTAGTTGTGAAAGCTTAGGCGACGAGTTTTTGTCTAAGCACCCAAAGCCAAGCAACAATGGAAGCAATGGGAAGTCTGTCCGCAATTGTCAAAGCCACCTGCATTGCATGGCAGGCAGCGAACATCGAGAAGCAGCGGCAACTTGGACTGTGAGAAGCAGCTTGGTCACAGCTTGGTTTAGTGTCAGCGATGTTGCTGGGTCAATAGTGTGCAAACGAGGCGGCCATATTCCTTGGCCAGTGTATGCCGCGCATGTCAACTGTATCTCGTCAAGCAAATTGCTTGCAAAACATGTTGTAGGCACACAAGATCTCATTCGAACAGCAAGGAAAGAGGCCAGCATGACGGAATCAGTCGGGCTTGAAGGCTACCCAACATTTGGAATATCCGTGGATTTCTGCTGGATGCTTGTTTGAGTTTAGTTGGAAACGGCTCGAACGACTGGAGCCTCCTTCGAATGCTGTTGGAACTCCCGTTGAACACAAGAATCCCATGGGCATGTTCAACATGATTCTGGCAGTGACATGGCCGTGCAATTTCCTTGTGATGTCCTGAAGCGCAATTAGTTTGCAGCCTTTTCATCCGGCCACCTGTTGTCAGCCGAGTGCAAAGGAAGCTGAACTGGGCTGCAAGCAACATCCCGGAGGACATAGGGCCCTTTTGAGCTATTACCTTTTGACATTATCAAAAGCTCCGCTGCTTTTGTCCAGTAGTGCTATCACCAAGCCCTTTGCATTTACTGACCGCAGTCACGCGGGCCGGACGCTCGTGCAACCACGAGGGCTCGCGAACTAGCTTGCTATGTTTGAGGTTATGCCTCGTGACTTAGTCTTGCTTGATGTTGGATTTAACGGTTGTAGAGGCGGCTGACTCTTTCCCAGTCTCTCTTCTCTTTTTCCGAAACTCAATTCTGAAGTCTAACACACAAATGTGTCAGATCAGAAGTGGATTCGAATGGTTGCCGATGATGGGTGACTTTTTGGAATCCAAGTTTATTTTGTGAGGCTGTGGGTATTGAACAAGTCCTGGAAAGGTTGAGCTGACGAGCAAGATCCCCAGCTTTCATGCATTTAGCACGTTTGTTGTGCTTTGAAGCTTTCAAAAGCAAACTCCGTGTGGGTTTCAGTCATGTCCGCCACGCATACGGAAGTATAGCAACAGGGAGTAATGTGTATACACAATATTATACTCATGGTTTTGTTTGTGTTGTAGACATTGCGCAGGATTGCAAGCCGATGGTGTTCGACCCGCAAGGCTTCTTGGATGCACAGCCGCAAGGCTCGGCAGCTTGAATACCGGAAGTTCGGAAGCTGTGTGTGCCGCAGCAAGGCCTTGGGCAGTGAGGGTTCAATGAACGTCTCTGTTTATTGCGCTGCCTCATCCTCTTATGGTCACCGGTTGCTGCCTGGAAACCATACGTGCAGCAGTGTTTACATATATATATATATATAGTCCCGTGTTCCGTGTTGCTACCCCCCCCCCCCCGCCCCCATATGGTATGGGTCCCGAGACCCCGAGCCCCCGGATCCTGTCACCTACGGTGCCACCCCCACCCCGACCCCCTGAACTCGCACCCCGACACCCCGACACCCCGACACCCCCACCCCCAGGACACCCTAAACTAACCCCAAATGCACCCTAAACCAATCCCTAAACAATAAACCTAAACCTAAGCCAACCCTAAACCAACCCTAAACTAACCCTAAACCAACCCTAAATACACCCTAAACAATAAACACTAAACCTAAGCCAACCCTAAACCAACCCTAAACTAACCCTAAACCAACCCTAAATATACTCTAAACCAAACCCTAAACCGTAAACCGAAACCAACCCTAAACCAACCCTAAATCAACATAAGCCAACCCTAAACCAACCCTAAACTAACCCTAAATACACCCTAAATATACCCTATACACCAATTCTAAACCAACTCTAAACCACCACAACGCAACCACAGGACCACAACCACGGGGGGGGGGGGTGGTACTTGTCTGACCATGACCATTGGTGGGGGGGGGGGCTGGCAACGCTGTACCATATATATATATATGGTACCCCCCCCCCAAAGATCGACCATTTTCTGTGTTTTGTCTCTGGTGACACATCCCAGAATCTGCAAGGTCTCGGGCTCCTGGCTTCCCAACTTCATCTTGCATCTGCCTTTTAGCTGCACAGGATGAACATGTGCAAAAAACCCGAAGAAGACAAAAACACAAAACAATCAGAGAATGCCCAGGTCAGAATCTCGGAAAGTGAATAAGCCTCGAAGAAATCCAAAAAAATCAAAAATCAAGGTCCTGGAACAGAATGCCCAGACCCAGTGACTATCTCTCTCAAGGCCTTGATTTCTTTTATTTTTTTGTTTTTTGATTTTCTCGAGGTTTTTCACTGCTCCAGGTCAGAATCTGGGAAAGTGACGAAACCTCGAAGAAATAAAAAAAATAAAGAAAATCAAAAAAAATCAAGGTCCTGGAGCAGAATGCCCAGACCCAGTGACTATCTCTCTCAAGGCCTTGATTTTTGTTGATTTTTTGATGTTTTGATTTTCTCGAGGTTTTTCACTTTTCCAGATTCTGACCTGGGCATTCTCTCCCAGGACCCTGATTTTTTGTTTTTTGATTTCGCCGAGGTTTTTGCAGCTTCATGGGTTTCTTGCCCTTCGCCCTGAGCATCTTCCTTGCAGTGTTGGAGCTTTGGCGTACAGGGCTGCAGTTTTGCAGCCCTGCCAGTCTGTATTGCAACCAAGGCCTGCAGTGTTGGAACTCTTGTTGGAAATGCCTTGCTTGTGTGTAGTTTGGCAGCCTTGTTAGGGCAGCAGGGAAGCCTGCAGTGTTGCAGGCGAGGCGCTCAAGTCTTGCAGTGGCCTTAGTGTTCAACTCTTGCCAAGCGGGTTGCAGTTTTGAGCTGGAACCCAGTTTGGCAGCTTGCTTGGGCAGTGTGCTGGAAGTGCCAGTTTGGTGGTGGAAGTCTTGTAGCAGGTGGCAAGAACCCTTGCCAGGGTATTGAAACTTGGCAGGTTGGCAGGTTGCAGTTTTTTGCAGCCTTGCCCTGCAGATTGGCAGCCTTGCTGGAAATCGTGGAATGTTGCGCTGGGCCAGCAACCAAGTTTCAAGCCTTCCTTGCAGCGTTGGAGCTTTGGCAGACAGAGCTCCCAAGTTTGTTTGGCAAACAGGCCTGTGTTGGAACTTGTGTTTGAACTCGCTTGTCTGTAGTTCAGTGTTGGTGCAGTTGGTTGCAGGTTGGATTGGCAATTTTGCAACCTCCAGGTCTGTAGTTTGGCAGCCTTGCTTGGGAAGTCTTGCAGTGTTGAGTTAGCAAGAGGTTGTAGTTTGCAACCTTGCTCCGCAGTTTAGCAGACTGCTTGGCAGGCTTGAAAAGCCTTGCAGTTGTGCCTGCAGTGTTGGAGCCTTGCAGTTTGGATTTTGCAGCCTTATTTGTAGTTTGACAGACCTTGCAGCAAGTGGGAAGCCTGCAGTGTTGAAACTTTGGCAGGTTGGCAAGGTTGGCAAGGGCTGTAGTTTTTTTGCAACCCTGCAGTGTTGGAGCCCTTGCAGGTTGGCAGTTTTGCAACCTTGCCAGGGCCCTGCAGTTTAGCAGACTTGCTTGGAAAGTCTTGCAGTGTTGGAGCTGGCCCTGCAGTGTTGGAACCTTGCAGGTTGGCAATTTTGCAACCTTGCCAGGTCTGTAGTTGGACCACGCGCCATAGACGGCCGTGTATTTTCGTTGATTTTACAGCCGGCGCGGGAGGGGGGGTGGGGTGCGGGGGGGTGATCGGACTCGTCCACAGCGTTCATGTTTGTCTTCAGTGTTGGTTCGAATGTACCTTTCCGAGGACGCTCGTCTCGCCTTAGGTCTCGTCCTGATCTTGCGCTGTGCTGGCTCGTCCCCTCTTTTCTGCTGCCACCCAATCCTGGATCCTTTTTTGCTGTGTGCCTGGACTCTCTCCTTGACGTAGTGACGCAAACCCCGGACCTGTGTTTGTCGCTCGTGGCAAAAATAATCTTACTACCTCATCGGTTTCCACTGGCCTTTGACTCTCTTGGCCTTTGCTTGCCTGTGCTTTGGTCTGCTATGAGGCGTTCTGCGTGTTTTCCGCCCTCTCGCTTAGTCTCGCTGGCGTCCAGTTGCAAGGGGTGACACATCAGATGGTTGTCGCAAGATGGTGGTCGCATCAGTATGCAGAATTGATATATTTTGATGAATCGACAACATTTTGTGAAATCGGCAGTTAGTTTGCGGGATTCCGTGAAAGCATGTTGAAGTTGCAATTCTATTGGTGGAAGCACTGGTTTTGCTAATTCCCACTGGAATTGCAAGCACAGAGATTGAAGCAACACAGATGCAGGAAAAACCATAGGAATATGAATGTTTTTGACCGCTTCGCTGCTGCGAGCATGGCCAAAAACCCACGGCCATCTACGGCGCGTGGACCTCTGTAGTTTGGCAGCTTTGCTTGGGCAGTGTCTTGGAAACTCTTGAATTTTTGAAACTTCAGGTTGCCAGGGGCTGCAGTTTTGCAAAGCCTTGCAGTGTTGCAGCCCTGGGCAGGTGCGCAATTTTGCAACCGTCCTCAACAACACTGCACTTGAATGTCGACCCCAGCATATGCACATCTGGTTCTTGCAATAATGCACCGCATCTTTCTCAAAACGCAGAAAATGGTCGATCTTTGGGGGGGATAGCATATATGTATATATATATATATATGATATGATAATTTATATGCATTTATACATACACGCTCGTACTCTCGTTGGTTGAATCACGCCACAATGTCGAGAGTTCCTCACCGACAAAGAGTTTCGAGGCCGTCCGTGTGTTTTTGTTCAGGATCTTTTTTGTTTCAGTCTACTCTTGGCTACAAGTTACAAGTCATGCTCTTCCCATCGCAAAAAGCTTGCAAACTCCAGATGAGTCCCTGTCCTGGCTACTTAATTCACACTTACGGAAGCTGAATCGACTAAAGCAGCCATGTTGGTTTGCGGACATCTGCTTTTAGCACGCACAGAGGCGGAAAAGCATGTCTTTTATTCAAGCACTTGTGAGGCTGGGATGTCGACTACTTCAGTCTACGGACTGAAGCGACACGTACGTTGAGTAGGCGGGACAAGGTTTCCTTTAGGACAGAACTTTGATGGCGCCGAGCGACTTTTGAAACCTACTTTTACGGCCAGCCCCTGAGGTTTGCCTGTGCCACGAACCAACGCCCCGACACAAAAACCCTAAACCTAAACCCTAAAACCATTAATCTAAACCCTAAAAACCCTAAACCTCAACCCTAAAAACCGGAAACCTAAACCCTAAAAACCCTAAACCTAAACCTTAAAACCCTAAACCTAACCCTAAACCCAAACCCTAAAAACCCTAAACCTAAACCCTGAAACCCTAAACCTAAACCCTGAAACCCTAAGCCTAAACCCTAAAAAACCCAAACCTGCTTGCAGAAACCTTCATTCTAAAAACCCTAAACCTAAACCCCAAAGACCCTAAACCTAAACCCTAAAACCCTAAACCTAAACCCTGAAAACCCCTAGACCTGCCTGCTACCCATGCGCTCGTGGCCACGGGCCCACGTTCTGAAGAGAACGCAGGTCACCACTTGTCAGGTGTGGCTGCACGAGTTCTGCTACTTGAGTAGTAAAGGGTGCCATACTTGAACCACGTGCTGGACAAGGGTGGATTAGGGGGTGCCGGCAAACCACGGGGGCTGTGGGTACAATTAGCAAGCGGAATGCCGACATCTATGTTTTATCAAAGCTCAAAACATGTTGGTGATGCTGGGGAGTGTCGACCACTTTAGTCAACAAAGACTGCCAACCGCAGACCGAGTCATGTTGAGCTCGAAAAGTGCAACTTTGAAACTACTGTTGTAAAGAACATCAATTTCGCGAAACAGTTACTTTCAGAAGTCGAGTTTGGACACCGCAACATCTCTTTTTAGAACTTCTAATCAAGCTACAGACGATCCCGCATCCCACACCTTGCTGCACGTGCGCGTACCTTCAAACTTTGTCAGACGTTTTATGAGCGACTTGTATTTGCATTTAGCCAGCGCAACAGCATTTCCTTAACTATCACACTGGTGATGCTCGAGTAACGCATAATGAGTCATGTTGGGCTGGAAATGTACGATTTTTGCAACTTGTTATATAAATAACTTTGATGAGTGGAATCATTTTGCAAATTTGTGGTTTCAATCCGGGACAGTACTTTGTAATCGCAATCAATCAAATTACAAACTGCCTCCCGCACCTTTCCGCACGTGTGCGTACCCAAGTTTCCACACTTGTCAGGAGTTTTATATTGGTTCGCTTCTGGGGCAGAGTGTCGGACCAGCACGCAAAGGTTTGAACAAGCTGATGTGAATTATGAATATAATATATTTTAACGCCTCCGGCTCAGGCCGCCGACATTACAGGCCTGCTTTCTTATTTGCGTCCCTGTGGAATTGTCCCCTTGCCCCCCTTCCCCTCTAAGATCTTTGCCCGCCTTTCCCTGTTGAGATCTTTTCCCCCTTGCCCCCTAAGGCCTTTCCCACCCGAGATCTTCCCCTTTTCCTCCCTAAGATCTTTTCCCCTCTTTCCCTGTTGAGATGCTTCCCCCCCCTTTCCCCCCTAAGGCCTTTCCCCCCCGAGATCTTCTCCTTTTTCCTCCCTAAGATCTTTCCCCCCCTTTCCTTGTTGAGATCCTTTCCCCCCTTTCCCCCCTAAGGCCTTTCCCCCCCTGAGATCTTGTCCCTTTCCCTCCCCCTTGCCCTGTTCAGATCCTTTCCCCCCTTTTCCTCCTGAGGCCTTCCCCCCTTGAGATCTTCTCCCTTTTCCCTCCCCAAGATCCTTCCCCGCTTTCCCGGTTGAGATCCTTTCCCCCCTTTCCCATTCTAAGGCCTTTTCTCCCCAGATCTTCTCCCTAAGAGCTTTCCCCCCTTTCCCTTTCCCCCTTTCCCCGTAAGGCCTCTCCCCCCCTGAGATCTTCTCCCTTTTTTTTCCTCGCTAAGATCTTTTCCCGCTTTCCCGGTTGAGATCCTTTCCCCCCTTTCCCCCCTTTCCCCCTAAGGCCTTTGTCCCCCAAGGTCTTCCCCTTCCCCCCCCCCCCCAAGAATATGTTTCCTCCCCTGTCCCCCGAAGATCTTCATTTCCCTTCACTTTCATCAGTTCATGTTCCTTTACGTATGTTTTTGTTCCTTTTCTTTCATTTCACTTCATGTCATTCATTTTCATGTATTTTCCTTCATTTCCAGATGATCCTTTGATCCTTCACCAGCATGGGCAACATCCCCAGCATCACTTGCATCATCCGCATCCTTGGCAGGCGCTGATGCGGATGATGCAGGTGATGCTGGTGCTGTTGCCCAGGAGGCGCTAAGGCTGCAACAAAGCGGACCCCAATGTTTTTACGCAACTGTGTCCGGCGCAGCGCCCAGAAGAAAGGAATTAGAGCGTCACTTTGATCTGTGGTCCCCTGTGTCACGCCGATGGCTCTCACGGTCCGGAGCTCAGGAACACGCTTGCCAACCACCTACATCTTCCCGCCTGAAGCCGTGAAGCTGGAGCCGAAGGGATGGATGGAGGCCAAAGCCAAGGCTTGGGAGTCGATCAGGTCTGGTCATGCAGGTGGTCAGATCCCCGCTTAACGCCCCAGCGACTTTCATGCGACAAAACCTGCTGAAGGTGCACCATTTGTTTGGCAAAGCCTCCTGTTCCACGGAGTGTCACAAGGAGTTTCGCAAGATATATTGCCACGCAGCGGCGCAAGCCTGTTGAGACCATGTCAGTTTGTTTCTTTGCGCGGTCTGGCTTCCGATGGCCAAACAGTGTTGTCGCCACGCAAGTTTCATGCTTCAAGTAGCTTTCAACAACGACTCGACAAGGAGAAGAGGGTACGGAATCGTTGCCGGGATTGCTGGAATCATGCCAGATTCCCCTTGGTTGTGAGATGACCGCGCAGGGCGGCAACTCGTGGACTGACGAGTGGTATGGAGAAGAGTGGTATGGAGAAAATACATCGGAAACTGGGAATCCGAAGTCACGCTGGAATGCAACTCGGAGGCATGCGCTGAGGACTTGTTCGGACAAGTTGCAGACAAGCAACATTCAGAGCGCTACCGAGCCGATGGAATCCAATAGTACTCTAGCCTCGATGCTATTCATTTCCGCCAAGCCCACCAGCCCAGGCGAGCCCCAAACCCCAAAAGACCGAAGTCAGGGTTTCTCAAATCCCAATTCCAACATAGAACCCGATTCCACCCCCCCTCAGCTTCTCCCATTTCTGTCTATTTGGCCACAAACACCTTGATAGAAAAAACACATAGCAACACGGCTTGGCTCCTCCCCTGTCTCCTTGAGACGGGCGCCGAAGTCCTCAAATTTCTGCTGATTGAGCTCCAAAAGCTCAGCAATAGCTCGACCCCGTTTCTCATTCCAAAAAAGCTTGAACATAGGACTGAAACCCCCCCTCTCAAATTAAGACTGGCATTCTGAGAGCCCAGCCATGCCTGCTGATTCGGCCCTGAAAGCATGAACACACACACACACACGGGCTTGAGAAAAATGATTCCAAAACACGATCCTCCCCCTTCGTTGACACGCGCTCGCGCTAGCCGCGCCAGTCTGTCTGGCCGCGGGGTGCGAGGTGCCCCTTAATCGAGGCGATGTAGATCTTTATTTCCCTTAAGTAATTCGAGGCACGAGGTTAAAACTATAAATTAGCCAGATGTTATGTGGATTGCTAATTTGTCCGCATTTGGGCCGATCAGCGTACAATATGTGTATGGGACGAGTCCACTCTGGCTGAAACCTAGGACATTCTGGGCTCTCGTGTGTCCAAGCCCATGCTTCATGTTTGTTGCTAAGAGCGTTGTGCTCGCCCCAGCCTGTTGATACCGAGTGCCACTCGCTAGCGCAAGCTCGTGTCAACAAAGGGGGGGATCGTGTTTTTGGATTTGTGAACATGACGTTGGTTTTTCCCAACAGCATTGTGTGGGGTTCTTACTTTTACCGCTCGTTGTCCGTCGTTGCCTCCTTCCTTCTCATGCGCCTCCCGCCTCCTTCCGCCCTCACTCACTCGCTCTCACTCACTCACTCTCACTGACTCACTCACTCACTCACTCACTCACTCACTCACTCACTCACTCACTCACTCACTCACTCACTCACTCACTCACTCACTCACTCACTCACTCACTCACTCACTCACTCACTCACTCAGTCACTCTCCCTCTCACCCGCACGCTCACTCACTCTCACTCTCACTCACCCTCACTCACTCTCACTCACTCACTCTCACTCACTCACTCACTCACTCACTCACTCACTCACTCACTCTCACTCACTCACTCACTCACTCACTCACTCACTCACTCACTCACTCACTCACAGGCGCAACACTTTGGACACGTGAGGCGTGGCAGTATTTTGGACATGTGACTGCAGATTTCGTGGCAGATTTCGTGGCAGGCGTACCTGAGTGCTGGATTTCGTGGCAGGGGCAGGTTTCAGAAGGCTGGGGACTGGATGTTGTCGCGCGCACTCGCCTCGATTTTCGTAGCAGGGGCAGCACATTGGACATGTGACTGCAGATTTCGTGGCAGGCGCAGCGCACGGCGCAAGTGAGTGGTGGAAGTTGTGGCAGGGGCAGAATGTTGTCGCGCGCGCACTTGTGGGCCCCCTGGTTTTGTGGCAGGGGCACATGTGACTGCAGATTTCATGGTAGGCGGATCACATGGGATGCGAGGCGTTTCGTGGCAGGGGCAGCGTTTGAGTGGTTTCGTGGCGGGGCAGCGTTTTGGACATGAAGCTGTGGATTTCGTGGCAGGCGCTGGAAGTCATGGCAGGGGCAGCATGTGAGAAGGCTCTAAGGGGACTGGATGTCTAAGGGGACTGGATGTTGTTGCGCGCGCCCGTGTGGGCCCCCTGGTTTCGTGGCAGGGGCAGTATTTTGGACATGTGACTGCATTTTTTGTGGCAGGCGCACCACATGGGACACATGAGTGCCGGAAGTCGTGGAAGGGGCAGCGTTTGAGAAAGCTCTAAGAAAAAAGATGTTGTCCGCGTGCCCGTGTAGGTGCCCTGGTTGCAGGTTTAGTGACAGGTGTGCTACATGGGACATGTGAGTGCTGGAAGTCGTGGCCGGGGTAGCATTTGGGAATGCTTGAGGGGACTGGATGTTGTCGCGCCCGCTGGCTCGCTCACTCACTCACTCACTCACTCACTCACTCACTCACTCACTCCACTCACTCACTCACTCACTCACTCACTCACTCAGTCACTCACTCCCTCACTGACTGGCTGACTCACTCACTCACTCACTCACTCACTCACTCACTCACTCACTCACTCACTCACTCACTCACTCACTCACTCACTCACTCACTCACTCACTCACTCACTCACCCACTCCACTCACTTGGTCACTCGACAGCAGCCAAAAAAATGCTCCTCGCAGCTCGCAAAAGGCTTTTGCATGTGCTTATCGCATGGCCACCAGAGAATATCCGGTCCTGTAATTTAAATACATCTTCCGCACTCATCGCATGTGTTTGCGCAACATGGGTAAAAGTGTACTGCGACAACACCAATCTTGAAGTTGCAAACCCCAGATGGTTTGCACGGCTTGTGACAGTAAGGACAGGTGGGGCAACAAGGATGAGCCGTGGTGGCGCTATGGAACTGACACTCGCTGGCGACAGGAGGAAACAAGCTACTGGCACCGTGGCAAAAGCGAGTACTTGCTTGGCGGCAACCATAGACGGGTTGATCACTGGTTGAAGAAAAGGCAGCACAAGGACACGCAGGCAGCTTTGCTAGCAAATATAGCAGCAGCCACAGCCGCAGTCGCAGCAGGAGAGAACTTGCAACAGCAACAAGAACACAAGAGCGAGAACAACAACCCACCCACCCACTCATTCGTTCAACGCACGTCCCCTCCCCCTGCCCCCCAACACCCCCCACCCCCTTTTGCCAGCCCGCACCAACCCCCGCCACCCCCTCACCACCCCCCGCCCGATTAACACTTTTGTTCAAAGTGACAACAGTCAACGCAAGTGAATTGGGAGTCGAAGGCATGCGCTGAGGATTTGTTCGGACGAGCTGCAGACAAGCAACATTCAGAGCGCTACCGAGCCGATAATACTCTAGCCTCTTTCTGTCTATTTGGCCACAAGCAACTTGATAGAAAAACACCTAGAAACACGGCTCGACTCCTCCCCTGTCTCTTTGAGACGGGTGTCGAGTCCTCAAATCCCAGCCCTTTCTGCGGATTGAGCTCCAAAAGCTTAGCAATAGGATGAAATCCCGATTCCAAAATCAGATTCTCAAAGCCCAGCCATGCCTTAACAAGCTTGAAAACACAAGTTTGGGAAATAGTCGATTCCAACAAAAACACATGGCTCAACCTCGAGTTTCTGCTGGTGGGGCCCCAAAAAGCTTGAACATACACAGGTTTGTGAACCCCCCCTCTCACATTAAGACTGGCATTCTGAGAGCCCAGCCATTCCTTCTGATTCGGCCCTGAAAGTATGAATGCACACACACACACACGGGTTTGAGAAAAATGATTCCAAGAAACACGACCCCCCCTCCCTTCATTGATGCGCGCTTGTGCTAGCCGCGCCAGTCTGGCCGCGGGGTGCGAGGTGGTCCCTTAATTGAGCGATGTAGATCTTTATCTTCCGTAAGTAATTCGAGGCACGAGGAAAAACTATAAATTAGCCAGATGTTATCTTGTTTTGGTGTGATGGCTAATTTGTCCGCACGTGGGCCGACCAGCGTACAATATGTGTATGAGACAAGTCCACTCTGGCTGAAAGCAAGCACATTATGGGCTCTCGTGTATCCAAACCCATGCTTTTTTGTTCCTAAGAGCTTTGTGCTCGCCCCAGCCTGTTGATACCGAGTCGCATGCTTTTCTCATGGCCAGCTTTGTAAACATGACGTTGGTTTTTAAGTATATTTTCCGCACTCATCGCATGTGTTTGTACAACATGGTCAAAAGTGTACTGCGGCAACACCAACTTTGAAGTTTCAATCCCCAGATGGTTTGCACGGCTTGTGACAGTAAGGACAAGTGGGGCAACAAGGATGAGCCGCGGTGGCGCTATGAAACTGACGCTCGCTGGCGACAGGAGGAATCAAGCTACAGGCACCGTGGCAAAAGCGAGTACTTGGCGGCAACCATAAACTGTTCCTGGCGGGTTTGAAGGTTTCAGCGCAGACCGGAAACCCGCGCAAAACCCAAGGAAACCCAACCCAAGGAAACCCGCGCGAAACCCTCACAACACTGCCGACAACCAACCCAGGGCAGAACTGAAATGGTTTAATGGAGGGAGAGGGAGTTTCTAGGTTTATTGGGGGGTTTCGCCTATCTGTCGCGGCAGTATTGTTTTCAGCGTGTCTCCCAATGGGGCATGCGCCGGCGCGTGCTGTTGAAACTTGCGGTGTCTTGCGTTCCGGCAAAAAAGCTCCAAAACTGGTCAGTGATGTTGTTGAGAGCGCAAGGACACACAGGCAGCTTTTTGCTAACGTGTGTGGCAGCCACAGCCGCAGTCGCAGCAGGAGACAACTTGCAACAGCAACGAGACTACAAGAGCAAGAAGAATAGCAGGAACAAGCCCACCTACTCATCCGTTCACCCATTCACCTAACCCCTCGAATTGGAAGTCGAGGGCTGTTTCACTGATTACACAACGCATGACTTGATCGCTGCAGTGTTGCGTACCGTGTGTCACTTTGTCAAAAAGGTCACGTTTTCACGCTCCGCGCGCCGGCCTCACGTGTGCATGGCTGGATGTGGTGGGTGGATGCACGGCTGGATGGATGGATGGATGGACGCATGGATTGATGGCTGGATGGTGGACGTTGGATGGAAGGCGGATGGATGGATGGATGGATGGATGGATGGATGGCATGGATGGCATGGATGGCATGGATGGATGGATGGATGGATGGATGGATGGTTGGTTGGTTCGTTGGTTGGTTGGTTGATTGGTTGCGTGCGGGCAACGCGTGGGTCGCGCAAGTGCGCGTGTGCGGCGCGCGCGCCGTTAGGAATGTCTTTGGGAAAGCTGGCCCCAAGCGGGGCGACGCAAGGGATGCAGGCGACGCGCGAAACAGGGGGCTTCCGAAAGCGCCATTGATGCTGGGCACGCATCCGCATCCGGGTTGCTGCATACTTACAGTGTTTCGAGCCTTCCGCCAACTCGAGCTCCAATTGTCGCGCGGGCGGCGATGGTGCGCCAAAGGAGCTGCGGGGTGCTGACGATGCAAGGGGTCGGCGGCAGCAACCGTCAGCCGGAAGGCAAAGCCTAGCTCCTTTGGGCGAAGTAGCGCGGCGAGGTCGGATTTTCGAACAGCCCTCCCTTCCCTTCCCTTCATTTGCATTCCTTTCCCTTAGTTGCCTTCACTTCTCTTCAGTTCCCATGGTTTTTTCACTTCCACAAGTTTCACTTCAGTTTCCTCTCCTTCAGTTTCCCTTCCTTTCCATGCATTTCCCCTTTAGTTGCCTTCGCTTCCTTTTTCCTTATTTCACTTCATCTTCCCCTCAGCTCCCTTCATTTCGATTTATGTCCCTTCATTTCCCTTCATTTTCTCTCGTTTCTTCACATTTGTCCTTACATTTTCCCTTCATTCCCGCTATTTCCGAACTGGTCATGTCCAGCAATCTCCCTTCAATGCGCACAGTTTCCCTTCATCCTTCAGTGTCCTTCCATTTCCCTGCACTTCCGCTGGTTTCCCTTCATGTCCTTTCATTTCCCTTTATTTCCACTCACTTGCTTTCACATCCCATCATGCTTCATTTTCTTTCGTTTTGTTCCTTCATGCCCCCTCCTTTCCCTAACCCCTTCGTTTTACATTGCACGCATGCCTTGCATATCACTTCGGATGATGCCAGCAACGCTGGGGATGCTGTCCAGCACCGGGCACTCTTTCTTCCACTTTGCGGGGAGATACACACGCGCATGGTCGGCGGCGTGGGGCGGACGGCCTCCTGGGGTAGCGTGTTGCTGCTAGGCAGTTTGCCTGCTAGCTTTACCCGTGTGCTCACTTGGTCGTGATGCGCTGCCTAAATCCGGCACCTCTGCATTTATTAGTTCGGGCTTGCGTCTTTGCCTGCCTGTGTAAAACCCTCTCAAAACATCGCGTATATGCAGGGACATCATGGGTGTGGGGTTGGGCTTGGGTGATGAGGGGCTTGGTCTGCATCATCCAAAACTTCCTTCCAGAAAGCCTCTCAGCTCGTGAAGCACTGTTTTTAGAAGGTACCGAACATATATATGCAAGGCTCATTTTCGTGCATTTTGGTGCAAGCGCTGCCCGGCATGCCGGCGATGCTGGGCCCTTGCTCTACAAAATTCCGTAAATACCGTCAAAAACTTTTGCTTTTGTTGTGGCTGGCTCGAGTGCTGCGCGGTCCTTGCTTTTTCCCTTTGGTATTCGGGCCTTCTGGTGCGCGCGCGCGACCCCACCCACTTTTGGGCGACTCGTTCTGGGGCCTCTGGCGCGCGCGCGCGTGACCCCATGTGAACCTTCTGGGTTGGGTTGCAGCCGGGCCCAGAAAGCTGGCATCCCCGGCATCATCTGGGGCCTAGCCAGCCATGTCATAGCACAGGATACGTTTCTCACAAGAAAACATGGTGGGCGGGGGCAAGTGTGTAGCCTCAAAAACGGGCCCCAAGACACATCCGAACCCTCCAAATTGTAAGCAGCAAGCGTCTAACGTCACTTTTGGATCCTGTCTAGAAAGGAAATCGGATATAGCAGCAGAAACCGGCATCACCTGCAAAGCTGGGTCTTAATTTGAAAAGAACTTGGATATGGCAAAGCCGGCCGCAAGGCCTCAAAACAAGGCGCGTCGAAAGGCCCAAACACGAGCAGTTTCAAGCCGAAAAGAAAACGGATATAGCAGCAACATCACCGGCATCAAAAAAAGGCGCCCCAAACTTGGGCAGGTTTTGACGGTCCCAGAAAGAAAAGAAATTGGACACAGTAGCAACATCGCCGGCAGCAAGCCGCTTTGATGCACTTCCCACGCGCCTCACCCTTGCAGACAAATGGTCGGCGGGTTTGTCTAGCGCTTTTCGATCATGAGATCGCTTTTGCATCAAATGGAGCAGAGAATGTCCACCCTGCACAAGCTTTTGGCTTGCGTTCTTTGATTTGGCTCCTATAGTTGTACTTGATTTGAGTCATGGATGTCCGAGTGTGCTTTTGCTGGACTTACGTGCTGGGAAGATTGCACATGCGCTAGCTACGTACACCCATATCTAGCGCTCACCGATTGCTTGACCAGCCGAGGGGGCAGCGGGGCAACGAGGGCAACAGGCTCGTCGCACGCGTCAGTGATCGATACCTTCCAGAGTGTGAATGTTGCCTCATATCAGTTTTAGTGTGGGCACGAGCAATCTGACCCTGGAGGCTTGAACGTTTTCACGGGTTTTGTAGCATGGTCGGTTTGCTTGTTTCGCTGCCAATCACGAAAACAGTCCCAGCAACTCGTCCAGCTTGTGTTGCCACAGCTGACACATGGAGAAGAAACGTTTCTCTTTCCTAACTCCCTCCCTCTCCCTCCCTCCTCTCTCCTCCCTCCCTCCCTCCTCCCCTCCCCTCTCCTCTCTCCCTTCCCTCCTTCCTCCCTCTCTCCCTTCCTTCCTCCCTCCCTCCCTCCCTCCCTCCCTCCCTCCCTCCCTCCCTCCCTCTCCCAAGCCCGCGAAAGTTAACAATGTGGAAAACTGCGAATTTTCAGGACCGACGCCCGCAGAAAGTCGCAGAGGTTTGGCTCACCCCCGGGAAGTTTCGAAGCAGCAAACGCGCCGTGTCAATGAGCTGGCCTCGCCCTTCGGCCCCGCTCCGAGAACACGTCCGCACAGACGTCTCGACCGAAGTGGTTTGCCCACACACACACACAGGTCCATGTTTGGCCTGCTCCTATCTTCAGCCCTCGCGTTTGGCCACACAAAACTGGCGCGCAGCGCTCCAATTTTTAAAAGTTCTGCGCCTTCCACAAAATCAACATGATCCCCTCCAAAGTACTGCGCCTGCCATGCTGTCTGCGCGTTATGCGCCAAATTGCTGCGCCTGCCGCGAAATCAACACGCGCCCCGCATGGTATTCAGGTACTACGACTGCCACGCTATCTGAACGTGATGCGTCATAGTGTTGCGCTCGCAACAAAACTCAGCGCGCAACCCTCCAAAGTACTGGCTGGCCTGCCACCACAGGCTGCAAGGCGCCGCGTCTGCCAGATCTTAGTAAAGAGAAAGCGCCGCTCCTGTCACTTAAAGTGTTGCGCCTGCCGCGAAACCCATCATTGAAACGCTTACCAGGCGCGCAGAATTTGGCACGGAAATATGGCGCAAGATTAGAAAACCAGGTTACAGCTGTGACTTTTTGCATTTTCCCCGAACGCGTAACAGAAGGGTTTCCGTTGTAGCGGTCGCAGATGGCGCCAGTTGCCGCGCCGCTGGCGATCAGAGCACGAGCGGTTTGTGTGCCTCGCAACACGTTGCTTTCATTGAGGCCATACCGCTCCACAACCTTGTCTGCCCCTGGTCGAGGTCGCTCGAAATTTTCGAGGCCATTGGAACTTCATGATTCTCACGGCCTGCAAGTTTGTTAAGCTTCTGGCAGCGTCGTAAAATATCCGAGGGGCCCGCAAGGGGGACTGCGTTTTTGCACATTGCAGAGAAACTCTCTAATTTGGGCTTAAAAGCAATGTGCTCAATGTAGAGGCATTCATGCCCGGATCCGACGCGTTGCCATAGATAGGAGCGCCCGGACAAGTAGAAATAGGCTTGGGTTCCGCGCCTTGAAGCCTAGGAGGGGTCAAAGTGACCGATTTGAGTTGCGCAAAGTTTCCGCGCGCCGCCTCTTCGAAAGCAGGCTGGGCCCGAAAATTGCACTGCCCAGCGCCAAGCTTGAGCAGGCGTCAGCTATGGCGTCGGTTTCTCCACAAACAGCAATATAGGTGCATGGTTTTTGTGTGCTGCCTTCACAGACCCATGCGATGGATAGACAAGCGTTTGAACGTGTTACGGAATTGGCACAAGCAGCAGCAACTGCAGCAGCAACCATTGCGCAGCAATTGGAGCACGCGACGCTTCAATTGATGGTTTTGGTGACGCGACACGTACTTTGAAACAATCAGAATGCTTTGATTGCGATGATCCGGTGAAGATTCAGGCATGGAAACCCTTTTGGCGATCCAAATTTTCTTACAGTCATGGAGGCCGTGGAGAAGTAGAGGGCCCCACCTGGCATGGACACTTTGTCAGAGACAGCTCGGCATTTGTCTGCGCGCTTGCGTTCAATTTTGACTGCTTCTTCGCGCGGGCCTTCGTCCCAGCTGGTCAGGGCGACCGCTCAGCGCAAGAACGGTCAATTAGCGACAGAGCATTTTCAATTTAGTATTGGAGAAGACACTGTTGTCATATGAGAGAAACACTCTTGTCATATGAGAGGAGCTCGACGACGTGGACTCCTGAAACTGTCTCCTGAAGATGCAGCAGCAAGCTCAGGTGCGGCTCCAATGGATGTTGGGCAATTGGGGTCATTGGAAAGGTGGAGGACACATGGGCGGAGAAGGCAAGAAAGGGAGCGAAGGAGGTGGACACAAAGGACGCGCTGTTAACCTTTTTGGGGTTCCTGGTATGGAAAAGGCCGAGGGAAATGTGATGGGAAAAGCAAGTCCAAAGGCAAGCAGAACAAAGGGAAGTCTAAGGACAAAGGAAAATCAAAGGTTGGCAAAGGAAAAGACGGTAAGTTTGTGCCGCGTTTGCAATCAGCCTGGAAATTGGGGTAGCGAATGCCCCAATCGGAACTCGGTCAATCAGGTTCAGCAGGACTCATCAAATGGTGCAACTCAGCAGGCGCGTCACAGGCCTCGACCTTCAGCTCCTAGTGGATACGCAGGCTCGGTGGCCAGCAGTACGCGATATGCCGCAACTGTCAACAGTGGTTGCGGTGGCAAGTCAGTGCGGCGAGCTGATTTTTTCATGTTGGCGCTCCTCCAAATGGACCCTGGGAAGAAGAATCTGCTTTTGGTGAATCAGAGCAAGATGATTGGTTTGCGCGGGCAGTTCAAATTGCGTACGTGGATGCGCCATCGATTCAACAAGCAGCACTTGCAGCGAGCTCCGTTTTCAGTACGTCTTCGGAAGAGCAATATGCTGACTTGTTCCATGAATGGCTTGTGAGGGGTCAGTGAAACATCCGAATGAGAAGGTAGACGTGATGCATGTGAGAATGGTGAGTTTGTCCACATCAGAGTGGGCTATTCTGGACAGCGGCGCGGACCTTAGCTTGATTCCGAAACGACTTGCGGGAAATGGCATTGAAGCGCATGATTTTGCAGTTGCGTTACAAGATGCGCGAAGTGGCAGTTTACCTACTTAGGTTGGTCGAACTTTCATTCAACATTCTGGCAGGCTCCAACGCAATTGGCAGGAATCGTTCAAGGTGGCAGATGTTAGTGCCCCACTTGTTTCCATGGGAATTCTCACTAAACAAGGTTGGGCTATATCGAGTGGTTGCAAGAGTGACACTGAATCAGCAAAAAGATCGCCAATCTGAGTGTGGTGCGCAAGTGGATGGTGGAAGTGGCAGGTGCACGCTTATGATCCGCGCAATTGCGAAGATGTCCTTGGTCGCATTGGGACTCCTGGATGGGAAGTGACTGTCAGCGGTACTCCATATAACACTGTCAGCCACGCAGATCCGAGATACAATTTTGCCCCATGTTACTGGCCTACACGCAGCACTTTGGTACTTGATAAGATAGAGAGAATGAGTGGGAAGTCGTGGAACATTGTGCCGTGTAGATGCATAAGTATTGAAATGAACCCTACCTATCATGTTCGGATTTGAGGAGTTCTGCAGGAAGCACGTGGGCGGCCAGGCAGGGTATTTATGCGTGCAGACGAGGTAGACGTGTTTGGTCATGCAGTTGCTGTACCAGCAGAACTGCAGCAGATTTCCTGGGCAAGTGACGAAGCAGTGGAACAGGTGGACTTAGACAAAGGACTGATTATTGAAGGGGCGCTTGTGAGAAAGGATGGCCCTGTGCGCGAACTGAGGGAGTCAGCAAAGTGGCTCGGGATTGGGTAGCAGGCAGCAGAGAGAATCTTTGGTCGAAATTGAAGCGCGAATTTCAATATGGAGAACGAAGGTTGTTTGAAGCAGCGAATCCCCTGTACGAGCAGCAATAGAAGCCCGTTGTCTTGGGCCACCAAACAACCGAGTTCCGTCAACAGAGGAACAGCGGTTGCATGAAGTGCCCTATCTACCTTTCAGAAGCTGGTCAGCGCAAGTCAAAGGCGCATCACCAACGAACCTCCTCATCGAGAACACCCATGTTTGCAGATGGATGTTCTTTTCATGAGAATTGAAGATGGCGGCGAGTTGATCAAGGGACTGCAGTGTGCGGATACTTGGACAAGATGGGTAGCAGTTTTTCCAACGCCTAGTAAAGCAGAAAGCCAGCATTTGTGCGACATGGTTGTTCGCCTCTCTCGTACGTTGAACTACTACCAGCGCATGGAGGTTGCAGGAGACCGTGAGCCGAGCATGGGTGTGAAGGCGCTCAGACACCAGCCGGGGATTGAAACAATTGTGACCCCTTGTCGACCAGAAGACAAGGGAAGAACTGCGATGGCTGAGAGGTAGACGGTGAAGCGAGAAGCAACTGCACTGGTAACCATGCTTGGGAGCAAGCGCAGGGTGCGGATTGGTCAGCAGTGTAGTGTTTGGCAATAGGCTCTGAACCATGCAGAACGCTTGGTAAACTCGCATTTAGTGACTGGCATGACAGCTTTTGAATCAGCTACGGGCAGACCATACAAAGGATGCGTTATAGTATTTTGCAAGACGATTTTGCTGTTGATGAAAGGGCAAGGATGCGCCCAGAAACCATGGTATTTGGCTGGGTGCACGATGATGATGAACACGTGGTGCAACTGGCAACTGGTTTGGCGACTGAACGTGCAATCAGGCGGACGTCAAAGCCTTGGCCAGGCGAGGGAGTGATTGGTGTTACCAGCAAACCTTTCGAGAACAAAGTGAGGCAAAGTGTGCCAGCGCGTTTGGTTGGACCTCCCGTTCTGCCAGCAGTTGTGGACGAACAAGATGACGCATGGCGGGGGTCCTGATCAATGACTCGATGAGAAACTAAGTGCAGGCGCAGCAGCAAGTGTGAGCGCTGGTGATGTTCCTACGATAAACACATCCAGCGAAAGCTGAAGTGTGAGTGAGCCACCTGCGAAGCAGTAGAGAACAGGTGAGGCTCAGTGTGTGCAGTGGTGTGTGAACCCTGGCATGACGACGATGCTTCTTGCACTGCCCTGTCCTGCCCACGATGGCACTTCAACCACGCACTTCTCTCGCCGCGGAACAAGTAAAATGCATTCTAACATGGCAAAAGCTGAAACCGCAACAGCAAATGCAACACAAGCATGAGCCTGTTAGCAGCATGTGTACTTGTTGGCGCAAAAGTCTCTGCCGTACTGCTGTCGTTGCCTTTGCTCCAACCGTGCACTGTTCTTGTGTCCAGAACCTTGCTCGGAGTCAAGTCATGCGAGTCTGCATCTTCAATGACGCCAAGCTGCTTGAAACGTGCAATTTTCACTTGCCCAGCTTCCAATCTCTCCTCTCAGGGTCAACTTGCGGTGCTTCATCTTGCTCGTCGTCTTCCAGTAGACCATCTGGGAAAGCTGCATCGTTGCAAACATCTGCTTCCCAATGCCTCCCTGCACAGAGAAATGCAGCAGCGCAACGGTTATGTGACATTTTGTGCAGTTTGCAGATTTTGAGTGCAATTCAGCGGTTTATCAAAGCGCTTGAGAAGAGATTGGAAGCCGAATTTCCCGGACAGCCCTAAGCAACCCCCAGCCTGGAGTTTGCCGAGTTCCAGGCCGGACACTTGCCGACACTTTCCAGCTTCCCCCCCGCCAGTGAGACTAAAATGAGTGCTGCCGCACTTGAAACAATAGGAAGCTGACCTCTAGGTCTAGACAACACAGTTGCAACCGAAACCCCCACGCCTTAAGCCAAAACTGTTTTTGTTCAGAAAGTATGTGTTTTCTTCCTAATAGAACATCGGCAGATGCACGGGTGTCCGGTTTGAACCCTAAACAACCCCCCCACCACACGCTTCAGCCCTCAACCCTAAGTTTCCAGGCCCGACACTTCCCAGGTTCCCCCCTCAACCCCCTCCCTTGCTATTAGCATCTGCCGATGTTCTATCTGTGATTCCCGCTCATTGAATAGGAAGAAAACACATACTTACACGTTTTGGCGTCAGGCGTGGGGGGCTCAGTTGCACCTGTGTTGTCTAGTCCTAGAGGTCAGCTCCCTATTCCTTTTTAGTGCAGCGCAGCAGCACTCATTTTACTCTCACCGGCGAGAGAAAACCTGGGAAGTGGCCTGGACATCGGCAACTTTGAGATTGGGGGCTGTTGGAGCTAAAACCACAGCTGCAACTAAAATCCCCGCGCCTCAAGCTAAACAAAAGGTATGTGTTTTCTTCTTGTTTCAATTAACGGGGCACACAGTTAGAACATCCGCAGATGCAGGGTTGCCCGGGTTGAGCCCTAAACAACCCCCCCACCATATTCTTCAGCCCTAAACGATTGAAAGTTGCCAGGCCCGACGCTTCGCAGGTCCCCCCCTGCCGATGTTCTAACTGCTGGCCCCGTTAATTGAAACAAATGCATTTTGATGAATTATGTTTAGCTCGAGGCGCGGGGATTTTAGTTGCAGCTGTGGTTTTAGCCCTAAACAGCCGCCAACCCCAAAGTTGCCAATGCGCAGGCCACTTCCCAGGTTTGCCCCCCCCCTCGCCCCCGATAAAAAAAAAGAGTGCTGCCGCACTTGAAACGAAGAGGAAGCTGACGTCTAGGCCTAGACAACACAGCTGCCACTAACATCCCCGCCTCAAGCTAAACACAATTCCAAAAGGCATGTGTTTTCTTCTTGTTTCAATTATCGGGGCCACTTCCCACATCCCCCCCCCCCCGCGGTGAGAGTAAATTGAGTGCCGACACACGAAAGAGGAATAGGAAGCTGACCTCTTACGATTAACAGCGCAGCTGCGACTAAAATGCCCACGCCTCAAGCTAAACACAATTCTTCAAAAGGCATGTGTTTTCTAGATACGTTGCAAACAAAGCCGTCATGTTGCGGGACACCATGAAACGCAAATCTCTGCAACAGAAATGCATAGTTGTCCAGCCTTGGTAAGGAAGCAACCCCCTTCAAATGCAGCGTGCAACAATTGTTCACCAGCGTGTATATAGTTGAACATTGTTGATGTTCTAATTTGGATGTTCTAAAACAATACTACCCAGAGAAATGTCGCATGCTCAAATATGTCCTAAACCGGGTTCAGTTAGAACATGGATTCACCAAATGATGTTCTAACTTGAAGTCTGTCACTATACTTGAAGGCAACTTCTGAATTTGGTATACTGCTGCGGTGTAGTAAGAAGGCGTTATTCCAAGATGCGTGAAATCATTCAGGGACGTGCAGATGCTTTGGAAGATGTGTTTGACCAACATCATATCGAAATCTTTTCAGATCCAGTCGGGGCATCTCAATCAAAGTGCAGGGGTTCCACTGCATCAGTGATGATTTTTGTGGATGGAATTCTGCTGTCCGAGGCGGAACTGTTATCGAGCAGTGGCGGGTTGTCACAAGGAATCGGTTTGAAGCACATTCTTGAGTTCATGGTCAGAGATCGGGCAGCTATTGAACTTTTCACGGACAGCTCATCTTCTCGCGCGTGGACGCATAGGAGTGGCATTGGCAGGTTGAAGCACATCAACACAAGGCGCTTGTGGATTCAAGTTCTGGCCAAGCAGGGCACGGTATCGGTGAAGCCGGTCAAGACGCTCCTCAATTGCTCTGATTTGAATGAGGCAGGCGCGTATTTCTTCTAAATTTGATTGGCGTAGTCGAAACGCATGGCGGAGACGATGGAAATTACAGTTTTGGTTGGCAAAGATGTAATGCAGAAGCATTTGGCCAAGGAGTCCTGCAAGCAACACTTGACAGACGCGAGCAGGATTTCATTTGAAGACGGTGCAGCTCGACTTCCACGCAAGCCACTTCGAGCAGTTTGCGTGGCAAGCATGGTGCAGCAGGGAATGTGTGTGGGCGGTAATCGGAGTTTGATTGGTTTGAGCATTCATGGATGTTCACTTTATGCGAAGGCAATGTCATTTTTCATTTCTTTCATTGTGAATACCCAAGCAATATTCCAATTGGAAGTTCACAAGGCGAGCGTGCGAAAAAGCGCAGACACTGAAACAAGGGCAAGCTCGAGACTTCAGCCCGTTGATGCTGATCCTAATTTGCCTACGTGTAATGATGATTTTCCAAATGTACGTTTTATCCACAGGGACAGGTCTGAACCAGCTCCGTATGAGAGCGTATATATAACACGTGCTGGAGGATACTATCATCAACTTCGATCTTTTTTCATGGAGGGCAAGGTTTTACTTCGAGACGCAAAGCAGTTTCAAGGCGGGGCGATAAGAATATACGTGCTTGGTCACCCCTATGTGTGTGCCATATAGATGGCTAGGTAGAGGGTCACGTGTGATGTTCTTTTACACTCTGTTTATGTACAGCTTGGACATGGACATTAACTTAGTTTACCAGCGGCTGTGACAGTTTCATGTGAACTTAACATGTCGGCGTAAGCTAAGCGCACTCGAATCACGGCCGCTAGTTCTCTGAAGCGCCAAAGAAGCGGGCCAACAGCACGACCGCAGCACTGGCTCGAAAATCACAACTCTGCAGCGCCAAAGAAGCACACGCGGCGCGGCCTGCACGTCACGTTTCCTTTCTAGGCAGTGACAACACTCGCATCTGAGAGCATGAGCCAGAGGGAAAGAGAGAGAAAGAGAGAGAAAGAGAGAGAAAGAGAGAGAAAGAGAGAGAAAGAGAGAGAAAGAGAGAGAAAGCAAGAGAAAGAGAGAGAAAGAGAGAGAGAGAGAGAGAAAGAGAGAGAAAGAGAAAGAGAAAGAGAGAGAGAGAGAGCAGCTATGCTCAAGGATTGCGCAGCAGCACGCAAATGATGTCGCGTGGAAAAGCGTGGGAAAATATTTCTCTATCGCGAAGGTGTGGTTCGCGGGGGGGAGGTTGACCACATGCTGTTTCTCTCTCCCTTTCTCCCTTCCTTTTTGTTGCTTTCTGTCTGTCTCTCTGTCTCTCTGTCTCTCTGTCTCCCTCCCCTTCTCCCTCTCCTTGTCCCTCTCTTTCTTTTTTCTTTGTCTGTTCCTTTGTCTTTCTCTTTGCATTCGTTCACTTTCCATTTTCCTATTTATTTCCTTTATTATTTCCATTTTCCTCGCTATGTTCTCTTTCTCTTTCTCCCTCTCTCTCCGTAAGAGTAGGACGCTGGGCGAGTACCTGTCGAGCCACAGGCAGCGACGTCAGATAACACACGCGCAGCATGCTGCCCAATGCCTGCATTGCCAGTTCTACACTTGGGGAAATTTCCTTTATGCAGGCATTGCAAATTTTCACATGCCACAGGCCAAGCGGAGTTCCAGGACTTAGATGTGCATCCGTCTGTTTCTCGTCAACTTGGATTTAACTCCCGTGTTGCTTCCCCGTGAGCCTCCAGAAGATCTTGGGTAAACAGCCTGGGCCCGACATTGGACTGTTGGTTCTTGAAGAGAGCGGATTTTAGGAGTGGCTGCAGTTTTGCCAGGTGCTGAAGCAGCTGAAGATCCTCAGATTGATGGAGATCCGGGTGAAGCAGCAGTACTTGCGTTGAAACCGACTGTTGATGAGATGGTTAAGAAGGCTGAAGAAGCTGGAGATCAACCGAAGCTATTGCCTCCGCCACAGAGGAAGCCGAAAGGTGGAGGCCCAGAAGAGCCGGTGGCGTCGCTGGGTGTCGCCAGATATGCCTGCCCCGAATGCAGCTGCTTGGCCGAAAGCCGGAAAGAGCCTGGAGCCCAGCGCCCGACAAATATTTGGTGGCGCAACGACTTTTCGTTCTAGCCTAGTAGCTTTCGCGCCCGTCCAAAAGTCGTCCATCTTTATGGAGACACTGACACGCTTGTGGGAATTTTCTGATATAAGCTGGTCGACTTGTGACGCCAAGGTATATTTTCATTTAAGTGGCGAAGCAGTGACAATCATGGCCTACTCAGGCATCACAGAGAGGAAAACGTTGCCTCATTCAAAGGCTGACGGCGCACTAGTCATGTTGTGGCCCGGCATGCGACACAAAAGGGGCGTAATTAGTTAAACCACCCTTCTGGTTCTGAGCCAAACACAAGACCCCGATCACAAGTTTGCACCAAAAAACACTACATTTGGACGTGTTCGGCTATATTGTGGGATTCGCCAAAAGGGTGCTTGGCATGGAGGGTCGCTATTGTTCTGGAGCCCCTGGAGCCAAAATGTGGGTTTGTTTTCAATAACACACACACACCCACAGACACAGACACAGACACAGACACAGACACAGACACAGACACAGACACAGACACAGACACAGACACAGACACAGACACAGACACAGACACAGACACAGACACAGACACAGACACAGACACAGACACAGACACAGACACAGACACAGACACAGACACAGACACAGACACAGACACAGACACAGACACAGACACAGACACAGACACAGACACAGACACAGACACAGACACAGACACAGACACAGACACAGACACAGACACAGACACAGACACAGACACAGACACAGACACAGACACAGACACAGACACAGACACAGACACAGACACAGACACAGACACAGACACAGACACAGACACAGACACAGACACAGACACAGACACAGACACTGACACAGACACAGACACTGACACAGACACAGACACAGACACAGACACAGACACAGACACAGACAC